TTTGTTTTAGTGTAAGAGATGTTAATCGAAATTTTGACTTCGCTTCCGCATTCGATATTTTTAATACACATTTCATTTTAAATTTCTGGGGCCGTTACAGAGTATACATTAAAGTGGATCCATCATATGCTTCTCTCTATATGGACTTGGTTTAACTTGAATTGAATTTTTTCTTCTACTTAAGTGTACTAACTCCTGAGGCTCCTCTCTTGATAGACCTTGTCATGTCTTCCATGCTTTATGAGGCCTAAACTGTAGCTTCCAAGGCTTGAAAAATCTAAGTTATGATCTCCTTAACTTGAGATTATTAAGTCATTAAATCTCACATTCCACCATCTAGATACATGTTTAAAATCATTTGATATTATCAATTTATATATATTTTGTATTTTTTATTTTTTAAAACAAAACTTATAGGTTGTTCCATGTATATTTCATTATATAGTTTTTTTATTAAGAAATGATGTCTTAATGTTCATTTGATGCAGTTTTGTATCTAATTATGCTATTATAGTTAAAACTAATTGAAATTTAGGCGAGCTTCATAACTAGTAAAAAAGTTTTTCACAAAATTTTATTCCTTCTAATATATTATTTTACTACTGAGCTTTTTACCACTTTATGGTATTGTCAACATTTTTTTTTATTTTAAAATCTCTTGTTGAAATAATTGTTTAAAGCTTAATATCTTTCAACCTATAAAAGATAGTTGAGAGTTGGAACAAACATATAACAATAAGTCATAGGATTCTTTAAATATTCTTAATTGGTGTTAAGCTAATTATACTCGAAAATTGTATCCCGTTAGTTCTTAAGATCTAGAAGAATTATTAATTTTAAAGACTCCATATTTATAATAGTTATATAAAAATTATTATGTGTCAAATAACATTATAAGTGTTGGCTTAAGAAGAAATAATATCCAATTTTTTATTTTTACTTTGAAAATTAGTTGAATTATTATGAGTAGAACAAACTTATTCTTTATTGTTATGCATCGTGAAAGATTAATTATTTCATATACTTAATTTTTTTCCTACTGAATCTATTTATTTTTCAAGTACCTTCCTCTACTAATCACTAGTAAGAGAAGATAAAACTCTTTATTATAATGTTAGGCTCATTCTTATTTTGTAAGTAGCTAAGTCTTCTCATATAATGTCAAAATGAATGCAGGGAATATGTATTAACTTCTTTTTTCATGATTCAAATTTTTATTAAGTAAATTTCGCTCCAAGTCTTCTACTCCTATTGGGATGAATAATTTACAACTTTTCTATTTGTTTTCAATAATAATGTTATCATTAGTTACATTAATTTATATAAAAAAAGTATTATTGTGAACTTACTTTTTGATAGAGAATCAATTATTTAAGAACGTGATATCTTATTTCTTAAATTTTGCACTATTCTTATTTGGTTATTTATCAATGAATATATATCTCCTAAAGCATTCAATATATTTTAATAAGATGCACTATTTATTTCTTAATTTCATAAATTCATCAGAAAGAATAATAATATAAGCAATTGACTCATAAATTATAAATGACAAATGAAAATTTCTTAGTGACTATAATGTATAAGGAGTAGACAAGACTAACTTAAATAATCATTGATTAAATATATAAGTCACAATTAATAATGTACGTTTTTTAAAATAGAATTAACATATTAACTTGTACGGACATAAACCTAATAATTTGTAATAGGGTCTTATTTGATCTTTTAACTGTAAGATTTTGTTTTGGTATTAGAATAATTATATGTAATCGATGAATTCAGTTATACATATTTTGTAATTCTACACTATTAATACTAGGTTAAATTTAGTTTTGATTTAGAGAAAATTAATATTATAATTTAAACTAAATTTTTATGTCTAATCTAAGTTATATATGTTTATAATTGCTCATTGACAGTAAATGTACAAATTGATCATATAAATTAAAATATATCAATATTTAAATTATACATATATTATACTTATAATAGCTACATTTATTAATTATAGGCTACTTGATGGCTTTTTTCCCCCC